TAGGCAAAATGGCAAGTGTTATGAAATGGTGAACAGAAGTTACAATGCTACAGGATAACTAAAAACAATTTCATTCACATTGGTTCTACATGGGCCAGGACCCCAGGCAGCTCTACGTGGCTGGGGCTGGCGTGGTTTATTCCCCCATGGATCCCTGTGGCCGTGGCAGGGGTGGTTTGTTCCCCCTAGGGGTCCCCATGGCCGTGGCTGGGGTGGGCTCTCCCCCGGGGGGTCCCAGTGGCTGTGGCTGGGACGGTCTGTCTCCCTGGGGGTCCCTATGGCTGGGGCAGGCTCTCCCATGGGCTGGGGGCCCTGTGGCCGTGGCTAGGGTGGGCTTTCCCCCTGAGGGGTCCCTCTAACCGTGGCTGGGGCGGGATCTCCCACGGGGGGGTGTCCGTGTTGCCGTGGCTGGGGGGGGGGTCTCCCTCGGGGAAGGGTCTGCGTGGCCGTGGCAGGCTCTCCCACGGGGGAGGGTCCGTGTTGCTGTGGCTGGGGGGGGCTCTCCCACGGGGGGGAGTCCATGTTGCCATGGCTGGGGGGGGCTCTCCCACGGGGGGGAGTCCATGTTGCCGTGGCTGGGGGGGCTCTCCCTCGGGGGGGTCCACGTGGCCGTGGCAGGCTCTCCCACGGAGGGGGTCTGTGTTGCCGTGGTAGGGGGGGCTCTCCCTCGGGGGGGTACGCGTGGCTTCCTGTCTCTCATGGGACTTTCCTTCCCCTCCCAGTCGCCCAGAAGGTCGTGACTCTGAAGAAGCAGCAGCAGCTCCTGGCCTCCTGCAAGTCCCTGCCCAGCACCCCCAGTCACTCGGCCGCCTCCACCCCCGTGGGCGGGATCCATCCTGGACAGGTACGGCCAGCCAGCGCCTCCCTTAGCCAGCAGGGGGCACCGCAGCACCCGGGGCGCCCCCTCCCCAGCCCCAGCCGCCTCCAGGCCTGCAGCCCCCTTCATGGAGCCGGCGGCGGGACAGTTCCAGCCCCAACGGCACCGCGATGCCCAGGCCTTCCCGATCTGCCCACTGAACCGGGGCAACTGGGACAAGCCTGGCTCGGGGGGGGGGGTACAGGCAGAGCTGGCACTGCCCTGGGGGGGGACAGGCATAGCTGGCACTGCCCTGGCCTGGTGGGGGTACAGGCAGAGCTGGCACTGCCCTGGGGGGGGGACAGGCAGAGCTGGCCCTGCCCTGGCCCTGGGGGTGTATAGGCAGAGCTGGCACTGCCCTGGCCCTGGGGGAGTGTGTGTGTCGGGGGGGTTATAGGCAGAGAATAAAACCCAGGAGTCCTGACTCCCAGCCCCTGCTCCTTTAACCACTAGGCCCTACTCCCCTCCCAGAGCTGGGGACAGACCCCAGGAGTCCTGGCTCCCCCCCCCGCCCCTCGAACCCCTAACCCCCCACATGCTCACTGCATTCCCTGGCCCCCAGCCCGTCGGGGGCATTTCCGTGGCCCAGGGGGAAAGGGGCCCATGGGCAGCGGGCGGCTCCAGGCAGGGGGACGCTGACGCCCGGTGCCCGGGGCTCTTTTCCAGGCCAGTAATGGAGGCCACGCGAGCGATTACTCCTCCTCCTTGCCGTCTACGCCCAACATCAGCCACCGCGAGCTGCGGAGCGAAGGCTCGGTCGGGATCGGCACCCCCAGCTCCCTGCACCGCGGGGCCAAGCGCCGCACCAGCCTCTTCACGGTGAGCCCCCCTCCCATCTCCAGAGCTCCCGCCCGGGCACCGCTGATGGTGCCGTTCCCTGGAGCCCCGTGCCGCTGCCGGCCACACACCGCCGTGGGCTGCAGCCACGCCCCACAGCCGCCGGGGATTGGGAACGCATGGGAAGGTGGGGCACAGGCATGTGGGTTTGGCTCCCAGACAGGTCAGTGGTGTTTCCTGGGGCCGGCTCAGTGGCGCCCCCTGGGGGCCGTGTTCCTTTTGCTGAGGGCTCCTTGTGGCGTTGCAGAACCGCCGGGGGAGCGATTCGGAGAAGAGGAGCCTGGACAGCAGAGGGGACAGCACGGGCAGCGGCCGCGCCATCCCAATCAAACAGGTGAGAGCCGCGGGCACAGCCGGGACCCGGCCACCTCGTCCCGTGGCAGCTGGCATCCCCCCCCGTGCCCGAACGGTGTGCCCAGGATTTTCCTTTGCCACACACAGCAAATGCACACCCGGCCAACACACACACACACACACACACACACAGCAAACACACACACAGCAAAATACACACACAGCACACATACACACACCCAGCACACACACACCCAGCAAACATGCACACACACATACACAGAGAGCACAGCACACACACAGCAAACACACACACAGCAAACACACACACAGCAAACGCGCGCACACACACACACAGTACAGCACACACACACACACATACATACACACACATACACACACACAGAGCACACACACACAGCAAACGCACACACACACACACACACACAGTACAGCACACACACATACATATACACACATACACACACAGTACAGCACACACACACACATACACACACACACACGCAGCAAACGCGCACACACACACACAGTACAGCACACACACGCACACACACATACATATACACACATACACACACACACACAGAGCACACACACACACACAGTACAGCACGCACACGCACACACACATACATACACACACACACACAGAGCAAACACACACACACACAGCAAACACACACACACAGCCCGGCACATACATGCCCGCCCAGGAACACCCACGGGGATGCACACAGCTCTGATGGCTTCAGCCCAGCCTCCCTGCTATTCGTGCATGTCCAGCTTGGGGTCTGACCCCGACTCGGGGAGCACCCAGCCAGCCCACCGCACACGCGGGCAAACACTGTCTCCACCTCCCTGGCCCTCCCGGAGTGGCTGACTGCCCAGATGCCAGGGGGTAAGCGGCATTGGCTGTAATCCACCCGCTGAGCCTGGGGACGGATTGGGGAGCGCAGGTCGCAGCTCCGCGCGGACCCGGCCGCAGCCAGCGCGCTGCGGTGACCAGGTCTCGATCCTGCGCTGGGTGGAGGCACCCAATAACCACGGCGGGCGAGGGGTGTCCGGTGAGCACGGGTGAGCTATGAACGCGGGGAACCTCCCCCGGGCAGCAGCCCCTGCCACGCTGAGGCCCGGGGCTGTGCCACACCCAGCCTGGGCCGAATGCAGGATGACCCACAGCCCTGGTCGTGGCTGGATACCGCTGCGGGGGGCCCTGAGAGGAGGCGGTGGCCTAGTGCACAGAGCACTGGACCGGGACCCAGACGACCTGGGTTTTATTCCGAGCTCAGCCACCGACCGGCTGGGTGACCTGGCACAGCCTCGCTCGTAAAAAGGAGGGGGGGCCTCCTTGGCATGGATAACGCACTCTGCGGCCCCGGGCAGGCAGCCCCGGGAAAGGCACAGGGTTCGTGCCGAGGCCGGCGGGAGGAGGTGGCTCGGGGCTGGGCAGTCCCCCTTGCTCACCATGGGATGAGGCCCAGTGTGACCCCCACCCCCAGAAGGCAACGGGGTCACTCCAGGGATGGTGCCGTCACCATAGCATATGGGAGGGGGAACTGCAGTCGCTTGGTCCCTGGGACACTGAGCACACCCTCCCCCTGGGCTGTGGGCTGCACCCCGAGTCACCCCGCTAGCTTCCCCTGACGTGGGCAGTAGTCTGGAGGAACCCCGCACCCCCCCACACGCCCCCCGGCCTTGGCTAACCTGCCCCACTCCCCACAGAGCTTCCTGCTGAAACGCAGCGGCAATTCCCTCAACAAGGAGTGGAAGAAGAAATACGTGACCCTATCCTGCAACGGGCTCCTCTTCTACCACCCCAGCATCAACGTAAGTGCCGGGCCATGCCCCCCCGCACCCAGACCCCTCGCCAGGTGTGGCTCGTTCAGCGGCTCTCCCGGTTTCCCCATCTCCCCCGGCCCGCTGAGCGCCAACACTCGGGACCGGGCGCCCAGTCTGCACCGTCCCGCCAGGGGAGAGGGGACACTGGACCGGGGCCGGGCCAGGCGCCGTGGGGATGGGCACGCAGGGCGGAGAGCCGGGTGGAGTTCGCTCCGCGGGGGCTTTGTGGTGACTCCCCGTCTCTCCCCTCCCCCTAGGATTACATTCACAGCACCCACGGGAAGGTGATGGACCTCCTGCGCACCACCGTCAAGGTGCCCGGCAAGCGCCCCCCCAGGGCCATCTCCGCCTGCAGCCCCTCCTCCAGCATCAACGGCCTGGTGCGGGACGTGAGCGGGGGGCAGGCGCCCGAGGGTGGCGGTAAGTGACCACAGGGCCCAGCTGGGTGCGAGGACCCAGCCTGGGCCGCCTCCCAGCCGGGGCGTCAGCACCTGGACCGTGGGTGGTGGGCAGCCTGGGGGTCTCCCTGCTGCCGCGCCAGCCTGGCACCCCCAGGGAAGTGGGGGAGGCGGGGGGCCTGACGCTCGTGTGTGTAGGGGAGGCTGGCACACCGGGGGGGGGGGGCAAAGGGGGGGGCCCAAGGGGGCCTGGCCCTCTCTGGGGAGGGAGGCCGGGCTGGGTGCCCCAGGAGGGTCTGGCATTCTAGGGTGACTCCAGGCCCCCCCAGCCTGAGCCCTATGCCCAGCTGTCTAACACAGCTCAACGGTGACACCTAGTGGCCCGGTGGATTGCTCCTTAGCCATGCTCACCGGTGCTGGCTGGCATGCTGGGTCCATATCTCATCGTACGGGCCCAGCACACTGTCTCGGCTGGATCCAAGGTCCTCCGCCTTGGGGAGACCCCTCAGCTCCCCTTCTCCCCCCACAGCTAGCCTCTCCCCCGCGGTGCTGACCATCCCGACAGAACAAGCGGCCAAGGCCCCGGGGAAGGCGGACCGGCCCCTCCAGCGTTGCGCTTCGGCGGCCAGCGCCAAGACCTCCGGCGGGGGTAGGTTCGGTGCTGCCCCCTGCAGCTCCCGGCACCCGGCGCCAAAGGCCGGCGAGCAGAGCGGGGGCAGAGAAGGCCACTGGGGGGTACGTGACAGCCGTGGGGCATGCTGGGCTCCCAGCAGGACCTCTGGTGATGGAGGCACTGACGCTTCAGGCCTGATGCTGCCCAAGGACCCCAGAGATTGAACCTGGAACCCCGATCACGCCCAGGGGCCCGAGAAATCCCTCTCCAGAGCCTGACAGGGTGGCTGGCTCCCAATCCCTGAGAATGCCAGTGGGCTTCTCCGGACACCGGGGAGGTCGGAAGATGTGGGGGCCATGGGGTGACTTCTCCTGCCCGTGTCTCTCTGCAGAGGGGTCCCCGGCCGGAGAAGGGGTGTCCAGCCCCAGTCCCAGCCCCGGAGGCAAAGACCCGCCTCCTTCGCCCATGATTGACAGGAAGAAGCATCGCCGGAAGAAGCTGATGACCCCCTCGAAAACTGAGGGGTCGACGGGGCAGGCGGAAGGTGAGGGAGGCTGTCGCCGCGCTAATGCAGGGAGACGCCCCTTGGCAGCCTCGTGAGCAGCACTCCTGGCCCGGGGGCCCCAGAGCACCCTGGGAACGGCCTTGAAAGTGCCCAGAGCCGAGCAGGGAGGGGCAAGGGGGGGGTCCGGGGGCCCTCGAGGGAGAGGACAAAGAGAGTCGGCCCGTGGGACTCCTGGACACCTTCGGTGGGCTCCCAGGGCACGAGTGGGGCTGCGTCTACACTGCAAAGCAACAGGGCTTGAACCCCAGGTCCCGGCTTGACTCCGGTTCGGACCCTCCACCCCTGGGGGGTCCGGAGCCTGGATCCAAGCCCTGGGCTAGCGCGATTTGTGTGTAGACAGGAGTGGGTTCCACGGAGACCCGCCCTGGCGGGGAAGGACTGCCACGGAGCCGGGGGGGCAGGGCGACTCTGACCCAGAGCAGCGTGGCATGGGGTACGCCCAGCCCAGAGCAGCACGCCCAGGCGATACCGGCCCATGCTGACAGCCAGACTCTGCGCCGTTTCATTCCCGCTCTGCGAATGGCTTCCCAGCACGCGCCCCCCACAGCTCTCCCCACACCTCTCCTGGGGGGGGGCTCACACCGCTCACAGCTTCCTCCCTCCCCCACCAGCGCTTTGCCTCCCCTCCCCCCGGGTGGGATCCCCATCTTCTGGCTTTTTCTCTTGACTGTCTCCCTTTATTCTCTCCTGCCTCCCGCCGCCCCCCCGGACCCTCCGCAGCCAAGCGCAAAATGTGGAAATTAAAAACCTTTGGTAGTTTAAGAAATATTTATAAAACAGGTAACGCGCAGCGGCCGTCACGCGGTGCTGGTGTCACTCATGCATGTCGATGTGCTTCCATCGTGGGGTGCCACCGGCCGCCTGGCTCCGGTGCCCCCCCCCCGGGGCGGGGAGGAGCCCGACCATACCCAGGGCAAGGGGCAGGGCAGACAGCTGGGTGTCGAGCTCCATGCCAATGCCAAAAGTGCTGGCTGGCACAGGATGAAGGCAGGGGCACTGCTCTGACGACTTGCCATTGGCCCCTGCCCCGCCAGCTAGCTACATGCCCGCATGCTGTCTGTACGCTCATCCAAGCCGGGTTCCCCCGCGTCACAGCCACCCTCTGGCCAGCAGGGGGCGGTAAGTGCCACTTTGCTGGCGCTCCCGCCCCGCGACCGAGCTGCCAGCTCCCTCCTGACACTACCCAGCTGGCCCCAGCTCCTTTAAAGGGGTATTTTGGGTCCTCCCTACAAATAAACCTGGAAGCAGGGGGGTGCTCGGCCAGGCAGGGAGCCCCTCACGCCCAGCCTTGGCGCCCCCTGTCCGGCAGACAGACCTCCCCCAGCCTGACCGTGGGTTGCTCCAGTGGGGTGCCCAGGTGGTGACACTCCGCCCCCCCCCCGGGCTGGGGGCTCCCTTTCCCTTCTGCAGAGGAGGAGAACTTTGAGTTCATCATTGTGTCGAGCACGGGCCAGACATGGCACTTCGAGGCCGGCAGCTTCGAGGAGAGGGACGCCTGGGTCCAGGCGATCGAGAGCCAGATCCTGGCCAGCCTGCAGTGCTGCGAGAGCAGCAAAAACAAGGTATGTCGGCCCCAGCTGCTCCCCAGGGCCAGCCGCCTTCTGGGGCATTTCCCAAAGTCCTCTCTCTGCCATCCAGCCACTGAGCCACCAGGACAGTCTGGGAACTCCCTGCCCTGCCCTGCCACCTGGGCGGAGCCCTGCCTGCCATCAGTCAGTCCCTTCAGAGAGGGAAATGCAGCCACTTCTGGAGGACAGCGGCCAAAGTGTACAGCTCCCGGCATAACCCTGTATTGGGGGTGGAACTGGGCCAAACCCCTTTCTCTGGGGTCTTTAATATCTGTGTAGGGAACCCTCCCACAGGGAGCGATTCACCCCTGAGCAGAGGGGGAGCCCAAGGTGGGTGCCGCTGACGTCCCACAAGGGTCTGCCAGGACTAGAACTGGGGGTGTTTCAGCTCGGATGTGGCTCCCCTTGAGCCCCATGGCCTCCGCTGGGGTACATCTCGGGGGGCTGGTCAATGTCCTGGCTCCGGGATCTCCCAGCTCCCCGGCTGCTTGGCCAACTGCCCCCCCCCGCTTTGCTCCCCGCAGGCCCGGATGGACAGCCAGAGCGAAGCGGTAGCCATCCAGGCCATCCGGAACGCCAGAGGCAATTCCCTGTGTGTGGACTGCGGGGCACCGAGTAAGTCTCACTCCTGGGGGGGCTGGCGGCAGCGAGGCTGGTGCCGGGGGGGGGGGCTCTCCCTGGCCGGCTGTCTCCCAGACCGCGACGCTGATGGGGAACTCTCCTCCCTCCCTCCCCCCAGACCCCACCTGGGCCAGCCTGAACCTGGGGGCGCTGATCTGCATCGAGTGCTCGGGCATTCACCGAAACCTGGGCACCCACCTGTCGCGGGTGCGCTCGCTGGACCTCGACGACTGGCCCCTGGAGCTCACCCTGGTGCTGACGTCCATCGGCAATGAGACGGCCAACAGCATCTGGGAGAAGAACACCCAGGGACGCCGGAAGCCCACCTGCGAGTCGTCCCGGTGAGCGCCCTCCCCCCCGCCCCATGTGCCAGCCCCATGCCCACCCCCGGGGGCTGGGCAGGAGCCACTGGGGAAAGAGGCAGAGAAGGGAGAGTGCAGCCCCCCCTGTGGGGTTTGCCACTCGGCCGGTGTTTCCTGGGGGTGACAGCTAATGGCTCAGGAATGGGGGAGGAGGGGGTGATGCTGAAAGTCCCCTGGAAATAACAGTCCTCTCTTGCCTAGTAGGACCCTGTAGGCACCAGGCTATGGGCATTACCAGCCTGCTGGGGGGTGGAGGTTGCAGGCATCATGGGTTGGGCACTGCCAGGCCCCTGGGGGTACCCAGCTCTGGGCTCTGCGTCTCTGCCCAGTCTGTCTGCATCGCCGGGCACACATCACCGCCCGTGTGCGTCTCTCGCCGCAGGGAGGAGCGGGAGTCGTGGATCCGGGCCAAGTACGAGCAGCGGCTGTTCCTGGCCCCGTTCCCCAGCCCCGAGATCCCGCTGGGGCAGCAGCTGTTCCGGGCCGTGCAGGAGAAGGACCTGGGCACCGTGCTGCTGCTGCTGGCGCACAGCACCAAGGAGCTGATCAACACCTGCTCCGGGGACAAGGACCGGCGCACGGCCCTGCACTTGGCCTGCGACCTGCCCCATGTGGTCATCACCCAGCTGCTGGTCTGGGTACGTCCGGCTGCCTGGGTCAAGGGGGGCTGGGGGATCCGCTGCCCTCGCTCATAGCAAGCAGGGACCAGCACACTGGGCCCCCTGGCACTGTGGGCTGCGGGGCCGGGATGCCAGCTGCAGGGCGTTCCAGCCACGAGCAAGCTTATAGCCTGAGCATTGTGACATCACGGCCTGTTGCTCCGGAAAGGTCTGTGACATCACTGGTTGTGCGGGTCCCCAGAGACCTATACGGGGTGGCCAATCCGAGCCAGCGGCACATCCCGGTGCCCCTGGCTGCTTGTTAGCCTGGGATTTCACCTGCCGGAGGGGCGATCCCATAGCGATGCCTGGCTCCGGGATCCCCCCGGGAGGGTTGGTGCCCACTTCCGGGGCAGGCTAGCTCTGGTCCGGAGCCGCGCCCCTCATCCCCGCCTCTCTGTCCGCAGTACGGCATCGACGTGAAGGCCCGAGACGCGCTGGGCCACACGGCCCTTTTCTACGCCAGGCGAGCCGGGAGCCAGGAGTGCGCCGAGATCCTCCTGCAGCACGGCTGCCCCAGCGAGGGCCACGGCACCGTCGCCACGCCCGGCCTGCGCCGGAAAAGCAGCACCGCCAGCATGGGACGGTGTGACACTCGGACCGCCCTGGTATAGCCAGCCAGCCCCGCCGGACTGCCCCGTGCGGGGCCTCGGGGCTCAGCCCAGAGCAGGGGGGAGACTGCCAACGCCTCGGCCCTCTGCAGAGCCCTCCCCAGCGGGCTGCGGGCCTGCCTCGGGCCACCTGGACCGGGTGCGCCGGAGCTTGAGCCCGACGCAGGGCTGGAGGGGAAGGACGCGGGGGTGGCCAGGGGACAACTCCAGTGGCAGGCCCATCCCGCGCAGGCCGCACCTGCCGGATGCTGAAGGGACGTTCGGCCCAACGGGCCCAGCTTTTCCAGGCACGGCTGGCGAGGCGGGTGCCCAGGTGAGGCAACCCCTGGGTGCTGGCTGGGCAGGACGCCGGGCGTCCCCATCCTCCGGCCACTGTCGGACAATTTGTATTTTTGATGCTCTATTTATTACTCAGCCCCTGCTGGTGGGGCCCGTTCTGTCCCTGTCTCCTCGGGGCCCCTGCTGCCCATCCCTACTGCGCCAGCACATCTTCCTGAGGCCTCCTGTGTGGCTGGGCAGGGGATGGGAACACGCAGGACAAAGAGAGGCAGCTTTGTCAGAGCACAGGGCTGGGAGCCAGGACTCCTGGGTTCTGTTCCTGCCTCTGGGAGGGGAGTGGGGTCTAGTGGTCAGAGCACAG